ATGAAGAGTGACTCAAAAAAGAAGCTCCTTTTTCCTGTAAGGGATGAAAAAATAATTCTGTTAAGGATAGTCTGTGGCAAGTTCATCAAAGAGTATTATTAACATTTCATATCTATTTTGTTTGTAAAAGTTGGCATGCATTAATAAAACAAATTCGTGGTAAGTGAACTCTATCCATGGGAAGCTTATAAAAGCTTAATTGCAGCAAAGTACTCTCACCCTGATGGGATTGTTTTCATTTGGATATTTAATAGGGGTCATAGGGCTTTAGAATTATTAAGTGTTTTCCTTTTTTTCTTATTGATAGTATGTGTTCTCACTGACTCAGCAGCATTCTCTGTTCCTGTCACAGCGAGCTGACACCATCCATTTACTTTTTAGGTGCAGGTATTTGGACTGTATTCTGGAGAAGAATTTCATGAGACTTTTGACTGTCCCATTAAAGTAAGTATTCAGAAAGTTTTAATTTTTCAGTGGTTTTTTTTTTGACTAAGGCAATAAGGATTACAATAATTTGAGCACTATCAGTACTGTATTAGTTTTGTCAGTAAGTATCTATTCAACACTTACTATGTAATAGATACTATTTGGCTGCTGTGATGGAAGACAGGATGTACATTTTGTAACTGAGGTCTCCAGTGTGTCCCCAGGGGGCTTTTGTTCTAGTGGGTGAAATCTCACACACATACACACATACACACACACACACACACACACACACACACACAAAATCTGTGATTAAAGATTCAAAAAGGTAAAAACAATTTTAAGGAGTTCAAACCTAAGAAGAGTCACTATTAGCTGTTCTTGTTAATGATGGCTTCATTGATGAAGTGTTGTTTGTCTTGGCTTTAATGAATGGACAGGGGCTGATGGAGAAGCTGGCTTTCCATGTGGAAGGACAACATAATAGAAATGGAGAGGATAGAAAGTTCAAATTGTGTTCAGGAAGTGGCAAATAGTCTAGTTTACATGGTGCATAAACGACTGATTTGGCAAGATTGGGGCTGGTTTTATATTCAGGCTAAGGAATTTGGACTCCATCTGGTAGATAAGGAGAAATTATTGAATGTTTAAGTACACAGAAGTGACATAAACTGAGCCAAGATTTAGGAAAATTCGTATGGCAACCGTATACAGTATAGATTGAAGGGCAGATAGGCAAGAGTCAGTAGGACCAATTTTAAGTAGCAATTTTGGTAAAGTGTCTCTTTTAGTTGTTATAGGAAGTGGTCATTTATTTTTTTCACCTGTTAATTGAAACATTTATTGGCCAATAGGTAAAGGAGAGATAGAATCTGATGTGTCTTTTAGAAAACTGAATTTACCAGAATGGAGAGTGATTGGGACAAGAAACAATTTAGAAGGCTAATGCAATACTCTTGGCAGGGACAGGATCTCAATAAAAAGAGTGATAGTGGAAGAAATTTGTCTGGACAGCCTTTGCTAGATAGACCGACTTACATTAGTGATGGCTTGGGTGAGAGGAATGAAAGGTGCAAGAGCTGAGGGTCAGTCCAGGTTCTCGTTTTGGGGACGGTGTGTGGGAGTGCCACCAATTGCAGTAAGGGATGGTTTCAGTAAGGACAGGCTAGTTTGGTCTTGAGTTTGGGTAACCGTAGTGTATCAGCTAGGGATGTTATTGGAGGTTTTAGAAAGATGAGTGTGGACCTCGGGATGGAGATTGGCCCTTAGACACAAAATTGACAACCACAGTTGCATAAGTTGAAGCAATTTTTAAAGATATTATCTAGTTTAAGATTACAGAGTGAGAAGAGAAGATGACTGATAGTGGTGATGTTCTGGAACACTCTAATTTAAAGACTTAGGCTGTAGAAGATAAAAACAGTGAAGGAGTCTAAGAAGAAGCAGTTGGAGGGACCAGGGGAAATCCAGAAGAGTGGTGTCAGGGAAGACAAGGGAGAGAGGGTTTCCAAGAGGGCGTGGGCAGCAGTGTCAAAGGCAGTGTGCAGATTAAATGGGGGGAGACCTGAAACAAGGGCATTTCATTTGGTAATTTTGAAGGTACTGGTGACCTTGGTAAGTTTCAAGAGCAGGAGGCTCACCATATACCAAGAAGTAAATTGGAGGCAAGGAAGTGAAGACTCTTCTTTCAACACTGTTGGTAATAAATGAGAGATATCTGATAGAAAGGAGAAATGTCCAGGGAAGATTTCTGCAGATGATGTTTTGGTTGATGGTGAAAATCAGTAGAGAGGAAAATAAAGAAAGGCAGTATTAAATAGAGCAGCACTAAACAATGAGATCAACAGCTTAACTAGGGAGGATAATCTTGGAAAAGAGTCCTATACCCACTGCCTGTGAGACAGGCATGAAAGTGATGAGGCTGAGCCCTACTATTGGGAAGTCGGGTGATTAAGGAGGAGCAGATGAGGGCAGTGACTCTGATGGTTTTATTTCTTACACCTGAAGGGGAAAAAGGGGTAAGGTAATATGATTAGGGAGCAAAGGAGACGTGAAATAATAGTCACTTATCTAGAGTTACGCATTACAAGAGAGCTGAAAGGACTCTTGTGAGTGATGTTAAGAATGTGAAACAACAGAATGTGTAAATGCTTCAATATTGGTGTTTAGAATGGGTTAGGAAAATGTCGAAGGGAAGAAGGGCTAACCTGGGAGGTGGGAATGAGTAGAGGAATGAAGGGTCATGTGCTAAGCCCTAAAAACACATTCTACTAAGCGAGGTATCCCAAGAATGGAAAAACAAGCACCACATGTACTCACCATCACATTGGTATTGCTGATCAACATTTAAGTGCACATATAAGAATAACATGTATTAAATGTTGGGCAGGGGGAGGGGGGAGGGGGGAAGAGAGGACGGGCATATGCACAAACAATGAGTGAGATGCGTACCTCCGGGGGAATGGACACACTTGAAATTTGGACTTAGCGGGGAGGGAGGGTAAGGACATCATACGTAACCTAATCATCTATACCCCCATAACATGCTGAAATAAAAAAAAAATGATAGTGTGGGAAGAGGAATCTTAATCTATTCCATTGGAAGAGGGAAATTATTAAGTAATTAATAAGAATACAAAATGTATTTAATTGAAGATTTAAAAAAGTATAATTGTATGGGATGTTTGTGTATGTGTGTGCCTAGAAATATTCTCTTTGTTAAGTTAGAAAAAATTAATTTGTTATGTTGGTGATTTCATGGATGGTTTGGGGATAAAAAGAGAAAGAGACAGAGTACATGCAGGCTTACAGCCACAGCAGACGAGCCCCGAAGACCGAGTTGCACTGAGCGGAGCTGCTAGAACTTTACTATTGCTTTTGCTGTCACATCCCCCCACCATGTTAATGATATTATATAATCATAAAGCCACTGGAAAATGAGGTAAACAAGAAGAAGGGGTAGTGGAGTGGCCTCAGGAGAAACCTCGGTAACAAGGGGCTGGGAGGACATTGGTTGAGTGGGAAACGAAAGAGAGATATGGGACAGGAACTTAGGTTGTGGGCAGAAGGGAAAGTCCTGAACAGTTTGCTCCGTAGATCTTGGGTCCTGCAGTTCTGTTGTCTCTCCCACTGATGGAGTCTTGGTATAACTGTGCTAAATATCTGGGATGCTACATTGCCACTTAGTGCCATCCCTCATTGGAAGGCATCTTGAACAAGGAGTTAGTTGAGTTCTTTTCTGGGTTTCTTCTATGACTTGTATTCACTTACAGTGGAGATATCTTGGTGCCTTGATTGACTTCTTTTGTTGTCGCCAGAAGAGGGGTTTTCCACTCACAGGGGTTGTCACTCAGCCAGAAGGTAGACCTGATTTATTCTAGTCTTTAAGCTTTGACCTGGCTTCAGAGATGAAATCTTTTTACATAAGAGCAAAACTTAGATGTCATCATTTGTTGCAGAATATTACCTGAGTACATTACTTCCTACCAAGATTTTAGGATAATTTTTAGATCATGCTACTTGTAATGTATAAAGGGTTTTCATTCTGTGCTTTAACCATGACTCCTAAACCATCATTGGGTCCTTCTTCTCTTGTAGATCATTGCTGTACACCCACATTTTGTGAGATCCAGTTGCAAGCAGTTTGTGACTGGAGGGAAGAAGGTAAGTGCTCTGTGGCTGTACCTTGACATGTAGCCTTTGAGGGGTGTTGTGTTTGCTTTATAATTTATCCTTAATATTTTTAATGTCTGACTATTCATTAGGAGAAATTTGAGAAAGACAAGTGTAATGAAATCATAAGGCTATCATCTCTTGGGGGAGTTGTGGCCTCAGTGTTTCTTACTACATTCCTTTGAAGTAGATCCAGGGTGAGAAAAAGAAATGTTACTCAAACTACCATCTAGAGCTTTAAAATACTGTCCCTTCCACAAAAAAAGAGGCAGCATTTAAAAATAACAAAAGAGCGATTAAACTAGTGATTTCCGCCCCATGTAGAAAATGCCTTGATAAACTTTTGAGCAATTTTATCTCAGTGCCGTTTGTAAAATAAGAGAGTCAAACCTTTCTGTACATTTCTGTTTATAGATATAGTGTACTCACAAATCAAAGAATCTTTCTGCTTGTAGAATAAGTCAAGTCAATCTTTTTCTATTTTTATTAGCCGGAGGTATTTTTTAAACTACTATCACTATACTGGACTATTGAATATTGTTTTATATTCATTTTAGAGCTAGTGAAAAGGAGGTAGTCTGTGGTTATTTCTATAGAAGTATAGAGATATGGAGTGGCTACTTTGACGCCAGCTACCAAATGGCTTCAAATGTTTTATGATAGTTATCTGTCGTTTTCTCTTGGTCTCATAGTTCATAAAATGAAAGGAGGAGAGCATCCGGTCATTACCTCACTTGTAATGGTTGCTTCATTTCATGGCACGAAGCCAAAATTATACCAGTTCTGATTGCTGCTAGAGAGCCCCACCTTCTCCCACCTCATAGCCCACTGTTACCCTTAGGCTCTAGTCTTACTTACTTTGTGTAAAAATGTCCACAGGACTAAATAATGGGAATTACAGACTTAATCTCACATTTCCTAGCTTAGATCGTCACCTCATCCACTCCTGAAAAAAAAACTACTTGATTTTGTCAGCCTCAGTAAAGAATAGCTTTAAAATTCTATTCATATTTCTTTACTGAATACTTTTCTGGCTAGGAAATTTTGTGTGCCATGTAGCATAAATTCACTTAGCTGTGATTTTAACCCACGTGTTTTTATTTAAAACTCAGTGGGGTAAAGAATGGGTCACTGCTTTTTTGTTGTTAATGGCTTAAAACAACAAATATTTTTTATCTCATAGTTTGAAAATTTAAAAGTGTTTTAGCTGAAAGTCTGTCAGGAGGGCGCAGTCAAAATATTGGCTGGCAAGTCCAAAAGCTGCTGCCGTCTGCTGCTCCCAGTGAACTGGGAACTTCTTGAGGACAAATCACCAGGCTGCCAGCCCCCTTGGGGTCCTTCCTGTCACCACAGACCTGAGCCGAGACAACTGGCGCCATATTGCTTCTCTACCCACTATGCACCTTTGTCTTCCCCATGGAGCTTCAGCCTCTCAGTTTTCATGATGCTTGTTCCTACATAAATGTTTTTCCCAACTATGGCCCAGACTGTGGGAGCCACAGGGGGCCAGTGAGTTGTGGGGGACATGCGTGACCCCAGAGCCTGGACATTGCAGGTGGGCTGCCCTCTGGAGAGAGGGACAGAGACAACCAAAGTGCTAGCTTTCCTCCAGACTCTTTTCCTTCCCTGCCTCTCCCCTACCCATGGCTGCCAAGAGAGAGACTTCAGCTGAGGCTCTCAGGAGTTGCTGTTTCCCCTTTGATAGGGCTTCCATGGAGAGTGGCACCCAAACCTTTCCTCTTAAAGACCTGCAGAGAACTAAGGGGTGCTTGGACTGTGAGCTCCCTGCTCACTGGCCCTCCCCGATGCTGCCTGCCCTGCTGCTCCATCAGAGCAGGGCATACCTGAAAGCGGAGGAACATCAAACCTGCTTGAGCACTCCATAGGCAATTTAGGACCAGCACACTTCTCCCTGGTGTGATCAGCGATTGATTTTTGGGGACCTGGGGACAGGCCCACAGATTCTGTACCCCTAGGACTTGATCGTGTTGCTCAGGGGCACAGAGGGGAGATCTGTGAACTAATGTCAGGAGGCGAGGAAGCCTGCATGGCAGAACTGATAAGAGAGCTCAGTGTGGGTCCCAGCTATAGCACGCTTGCGGAGTACCCCTCCCTTCAAAGGAACACTGTGTTCTCAGCCTAGGGCAGGATACTGGACAGGGAAGCCCTCAGCCTGCAGTGTCATTTCTGGGGAGCTCAGCTAGTTTGAGCTCCTGCCTGCCAGCGGATACCAGACAGAGACCACGGAGCAGGATGGAAGGGAGGAGAAGAGCGAAACCCTCTCCAAACATTCAGATTGTGGATCTTACATGGCCCCTACCTCCACAAGCAGACTTTCTGACTAGGTGGGCCATCTCAGTCCCTCCATGGTGGCTTTCCTCAGAAGCCTGCGAGTGGACCTTTGACCCCCACTGAAACAGCTACCTTACTAGCTTTTGTGGAGCCTGAGGGTGGGCTCACCCAACCCAGCCCTGCCCAGCCTCACTTCCCCACCCAACTCTGCTGTGGTGGAGAATAAGGACTCACCTGGAAGTTCCAGGACCCCACCCATCACCTGGGGCATTCGAATGCTTCTCCTGAGGGGCTAGAGCTAGTAACCGGTCCCAAAACAACACTGTAGATTGTTCCTTATGGCAAGCACTTCCTACTGACAGAGAGGTAAATTTGCATATCCCTTTGCATCATTTACTGACTCATTCACATAGGGTGTGGTTGATTCTTACCCACAAGCACCACCTACTGTCTCAGAGATTAACCTGGGCATGCCAATACATTTCACAATGTTAGGAAGACCACAGGGCTGGGGAAAGAGAAAAGACCTCAAAGACCTCCATACTCCCTCATCGGAGAGAGACAGGGAATCTGCTCATACTCATACCTCACCACTGCTATAGCCTGCAAAAAACTAGCAACTGAAAAAACCAGCACACTAAGGATATCTATAACCAAAGCATCCATCCGGAACCTAGACCCTCATCAAAGTACCCACAAGCAAAGCCAAAGGTTCTTACCCAACATAGGCTACAGACACTTCCTTACGAGTGAGTGGGAAAGGAAAAAGAAGAGCCCCATCTAAACAAAAGAAAATCCAAAAGTAAGAAGTGACAGCTGCCCCAGATCAGAAGGAATCAGTGAAAGAACTCCGGAAGTATGAAAAATCAGAGTGAAAGGACACCCCCAAAAGAGAACACCAGCTGTCTAGCAATAGATACCAACCAAAATGAAAATATTGAAATGACAGATAAAGAACTCCAAATATGGATTGTAAGGAAGCTCAATGAAATCCAAGAGAAAATGGAAAACCATCTCAAAGAAACCAGAAAAACAATTAGGAAATGAATGAAAAATTCACTAAAGAGATTGACATTTTTAAAAAAACCAAATAGAACTGTAAATGAAAAATTCATTTAAGGAATTACAAAACACAGTAGAAGGTTTTAAGAATAGACTAGACCAGGCAGAAGAATCTCAGAGCTTGAAGACAATTCTTTTGAATTAACTCAGTCAAAAATAAAGAACAGAGAATTGAGAGGAATGAACAAAGGCTACAAGAAGTATGGGATTATGTTAAATGGCCAAATATAAGAATCATAGGTATCTTTCAGGGTGAAGAAAACTCACAGGCCTGGAAAACCTATTTGAGGAAATAATTGGGGAAAACTTCCCTGGTCTTGCTAGAGATTTAGACATCCAGGTAAGAGAAGCTCAACGCACATCTGGGAGATTCATTGCAAAGAGACAATCACCAAGACACATAGACATCAGACTGGCCACAGTCAACACAACGGAGGAACCTCCTGTGAGCCGTGAGGTGAAAACATCAAGTAATTTACAAAGGAAAACCGGTCTGGCTAACTACAGACTTCTCAACTGACACCTTACAAACCAGAAGGTATTGGGGCCCCACCTTCAGTCTTCTTGAACAGAACAACTGACAGCCTAGAATTTTTTATCCTATAAAACTCTAAGTATCATATATGAAGCAGAAATAAAGACTTTTTGAGACAAGCAAACACTAAGAGAATTTGTCAAGACCAGACCTGCCCTGCAGGAAATACTCAGAACCTCATTATACATGGATTAGCACAATAGACACCCACCAGTGTAAAACCACCCAAAGCTAAAGGTCAGAGATCATATAAAACAATAGCACAAGAGGTAAAACAAAGCAGTAAGTTTTTATACAACAGGATGAACAGAACAACATCCCACATACCAATTCTAACAATCAATATGAGTGGTCTGAATGTGCCACTTGAAACACAAGCTGGCTGAATTGATGAAAAAATACAACCAAAGTTTCTGCTGTTTTTAGGAAATCTGACTGACAAGGACTCATACAGACTCAAAGTGAAGGGATGGAAAAAATATTCCACGCAAATGGAAACCAAAAGAAAGCAGGTATAGTCATTCTCATATCAGATAAAATAGACTTTAAAATAACAACAGTAAAGAAAGATAAAGGTAGTCATTATATAATGGTAAAGGAAACAAATCAACAAGAAGACATAACAATCCTAAATATTTATGGACCTAACACAGGAGCACCCAGATTCATAAATGAAAGCTACTAGATCTAAGCAAAGAGTTAAACAGCAGTATGGAGATTTCCAGGGATTTCAGTACCCCACTGGCAGAACAGGACAACTCATCCAAGCAGAAAATAAATAAACACTGGACTGAAATGGGACTCTAGAGCAAATGAACCTAACAAAACCTAACAAAATATTTTACCCCAAACCTACTGAATATACATTCTTCTCATTAGCCCATGAAACATTATCCAAGTTTGATTATATCTTAGGCCACAAAACATATCTCAACAAATTCGAAAAAAATAGAAATCATACTGTGTATCTTCTCAGACCACAATGGAATAAAACTGGAAATAAATTCCAAGGGAAACACTCAATTCTATACAAAGTCGTGGAAATTAAATAACCTGCTGCTGCACAATTATTGCATCAGTAATGAAATTAAGATGGAAATAA